TTTATATTTTTGAAATATGTGTATACATATTTCAAAAGCAAATTTGTGATAAATAACGAGTATCACAATGTCAATACCAGACAAAAACATAATTTTCATGTGCCATTTGCACGATTAAATTTAAGTACTCGTTCTCCAAACTTTGTAAAAATTAAAAATGCCGATGCGGTATTTTGGTGCTGTGAATAAATATAAATTTAGCACATAGTCAAATATCAGGACTCAAAATCGGTACGGTAGAAAAACGGAGTATTTGGCGTTTGGTTTATTTAATAAACAGGCTAATACTTTAAGAAACGGTACGCCAAAATAATTATTCGTTTTTTTAAATTTCGGTCGTTGCTAGAAAGGGAAGAACAAATAAGGTTAATAAATTAGAATAATAAATAATCAATAAAATAAGTCGTTCCCAATTGGCTCTGAAACAGAGAAAAATAATTACGGGTTACTCTAATTCTACCAATCAATATTAGCGGTGGTTTCTAGTACAGCGACGGAAATTAAGCGAAAATTTAACCAGCCAGGGAGAAAGCCAAGCAGAGCAGTTTACAACGGGCATAAATAAGCAAACGGTAGTCAGGAAAATGAATTATGTTGGTGAACAGAAGGCAAAGTCTGGAAGAGGTGCGCGTTCAAATGCGGGGCGGCCGAAAGATTTCTCCCAGAAGCGGTGGGGCACCCAGCCAAACTTCGAGGGTCTATCCGTCGCTGCACAGCCGACACACAACGTCTTCTACTTATCCGTCGCTGCACAGCCGACACACAACGTTTACTGGCGGTGGGGCACCCAGCCAAACCAGCAGTTTCGGTTATTGTGCCTTACAGCGTTTATCAAGCTTAGGCGGTGGAACACCCAGCCAAACCTTCGCCGACAACGCTGCTGCCGTACAGTCTGACACCTTCACGTCCTCTACTGGCGGTGGAACACCCAGCCAAACCAGCAGTTTCAGTAAAGGGGCTCACAGCGTTTGTCGAACGAGGGCGGTGGGGCACCCAGCCAAACCGTCGCCGATAACGTTGCTGCCGTACGAACCTGCACTCAACGTCTTCCACTGGCAGTGGAACACCCAGCCAAACCAGCAGTTCGGTTGACGTGACGGACAACGTTCGTCGCACGAGGGCGGTGGAACACCTAGCCAAACCTTCGCCGACAACGCTGTGGTCGTACTGTCTTGCCAAAGTTCAAAACGGCCAGACATATACCATAGCAGGATAGGAAAACATAGGAAAATACAATCTGCTTACTTATTCCGGATGGTTGCTCCCGGCGGCTAACTCCTTAGGTCAGATGGCGGTTTCTGGTCGGTTTCGGGCCCTCGGGTTGGTCCTCAGGCTGGTGTTGGAGTTCTTCGAGTTATGGCAGCGAACTCCTTGGGTCGGATGGCGGTCTCTGGTCGGTTTCAGGTCCTCGAGGTGGTTTTCAGGCTGGAACTGGAGCTCTTCGAGTTCAGGATATGAACTGAGGATTTTCGTCCAGGGACGTTGGTTTTATTGTCTCAATCCCCCCTTGACTGAGCGGGAGCCTTGGTGGAATTATGTGCGCGGCACTCGGCAGAGTGGGGCAATGGACGGTTTCGGCTCGACTCGCGGATAATTGCTCTCACCCAATTAAACTAATTAATAAATATATGGCCAACGGCCTTGCATAAAACAGAAAATAATACTGGTTCATTACACTATTTCGAAGTGTTTAGGCCTCTTGTAGAATTTTGATTAAATGAGCGGTTTGGGTACCTAAAAAAAAATATTTTTTAAATGTATATCTCTATAAATATATCTTGCATCTATATTGAAATACTTAACAAAGTCCTAGTAGGCTCTGATTTTGTAGGTTGTCTATAATTTCAGTTTCATCTTATTTGGGATAGCATTATTATTGGCCCTGTTATTCTACCCAATAGATTGAGTGGTGAATTTTATTTAGAATTTTTGCAAAACCCGAGTTATTGGAAGATGTGCCGTTAATACTCAGAGCTAACATGTGGATTATGCATGATGGCGTTGCACCATATTTCACTGCAAATGTCCGGCAGTATCTGAATCAAAGATTTCCTCGTCGATGGATCGGTAGAGGGGATAATGCTTCTGTTAACTCAATGATTTGGGATCGAGGGGGATTATCCCTCTTTATCCTGCCTCATCTCGTGTAGGCCTGGACAGCCTTCGTAGGTGGGCCCCATCCGTCGTCTACCCCGACCGCAAATGCGGCCGGTGTAGGCGCTTTGTGGGACCTCCTTTTGTCCTGGCTGGGCCCCGCCGGCTAGGGCCCTTTCTTCTGGCGCTCTTCTTGCTTCGCCGGCTCGTCTGTGTAAACCCCGGGGGTAGTGTCATGTTTATGTGTGGTATGGTTGGGTAGGGTAGTGCGGCTATGCAGCCTGGGATGCGCTTTGCTAAG